TGGCGAGCAAATTACTCAAAACAACCAGATGTACGAACGCAATCCAAAACTTATGAAGATGATCTAGTATATATCCAGTAATCTGGAAGTCGGGCGTAACTTGACATTATAATATTACGTAAAAAGGACTTCAGAAAGTAATCAATAACAGGCTTATGCTTTAGCAGGGGTGCAAATGATGAAGCCGCATGGGGTATTTAAAAATTTAACGCAAGCTTCAAACTTTTGAGAATTCAGAGCTTCATATATTCGAAGATATATCTAGATTTCTTTAAAAACATCGTTTTTATATGAGGTTTTTTCGTTTATTTACGTTTAGGTTTATTAACGTATATTTTTGGGCGACATTGAAGGCATGAAAAGCGACGCCAAAAATCATCCAAAACATCCGTCATCAAGTGACTGAAATTATTTTGGTATCATTGGCCATGAATATTGCAATTTTGCAGGAATAAGTAGAAGACAGTTGCAGCACAAGACGTTAAGGACAGTTGCAACATTCAGTCAAATTTTCAAGGGCGAAGCTAAAGAAAATTGTTAGAGTGGACAGGCCCATAGAGCTCTTCTACTGTCCTAGATTTTCCGTCAAAATAGCACTATATCGGTGTAATTTTTGGGAATAACACAACGTTAACAAACCCCTTAAAGCCATTTGCAACCTTAGGCCGTTTGAAATTTTGCAGAAAAATTTTTAAACAGGAATTGAGTATAAAGTATTATACCTTGAGCCTCAGTGTTATCGATCCACCATGGGCTCCGACGCAGGTTGGAAAGAAGAGGGGCCAAGAAAAAATATGGCAATCATAACAAAAGGTTTTAACAAAAGCTCTATTGTTTTGCAAAAAAGTGAAGAGGCCATGGCCCTCCCCGCCCCCCCCCCTCTTCGTCGGAGGCCCAGTAAGTAAGTAAGTAAGTAAGTAAGTAAGTAAGTAAGTAAGTAAGTAAGTAAGTAAGTAAGTAAGTAAGTAAGTAAGTAAGTAAGTAAGTAAGTAAGTAAGTAAGTAAGTAAATAAGTAAGTAAGTAAGTAAGTAAGTAAATAGATAAAAAGATAAAATAGATAGTTAAGGAGAAATAGATAAAAAAATTACTGATCTTAACAATTGTTTGTTGGTTTGCCTCCACACGTTGGAAGCTCTCAGTCACCCATTCTGAAGCATTGAAGTGTCCACATTGTTTGAAATCACTGCAGGCTGTATGATTTCAACCAAGAATTAGAGCAAGTCCTTCAATACTTCGCTTATTCTGCGTAATACCTACCCCAATTCACATCTCTCTTCTCTGCCATAGGATTAGCTTCTAGAGTATTCTCTCCAATTAACGGACATTCTAACAGGCGGACACCTCTGATTAGCGGAAAAAAATTTTCCGATCGTTTTCTGGTCAAAGTCTTATAAAAATCTTTAACCGACAATATTTTTTGCACAAAATAGTCAATTTGGCTTTTTTCTTTCCAATTAGCGGACAGTACAAAAAGGTTAGGAGCCAGCGAACAAGAAAATGAGACGAATGAACATTTGTTTCAAACATTTTGACACTTGACAATCTAGTTTTCTTTTTACAGCTTCGAGCTTCTTTACAGCTCAGTTTACTAACTTTTCTTATCCATGAAAGTGGTAAATTACTGGAATCTTCAGACCATTGCCACTGATTACCCAGATTACACCTAGAGGTGGTGCCAGAAATCTTCCGACAGAGGGGTTGGAGCTTCCAACATGGGGGCTAAAGTGACTAAAATATGCAGTCTTCATACGTTATTTTGTCAAATTTGCTTCCACAATAGCCTAAAATAATTTCTCCGATGAAGTGGGGGGGGGGCCGGGGTGGCTAGATGCTTCCGATGGAGGGACTGTAGCCCCACCTAGCCTTCGCTTGGCGCCTCCACTGATTACACCTTTTACTTACAGAACTCGGGTCTATTTTCAAATTTGGGATTTACATTGAAAAACCTTCTAAAAGGCGGACACTTCCAATTAGCGGACACCTTGCTCTTGCCCCGACGGTGTTTGCTAATTGGAGAGAATACTATATACGCCCATGCAGATTGGCTGTGTTTTGAACACAAAACTTACTTTGAGTACTCGCAAAATACGTTGTTGGTCATTGGCTAGTGTGTCTATAGCATGTTTTGGTTTGATAGACTCTATAAACTGCATAATCAAATGAGGATTTATTAATGATCTAATAAATATTTACCATTTAAAAAGCTTGTTAATAATTCGTTCGCCCACCTTTTAAGGAGTGTCCAAACAGCGCCGTTATGTAGAATTTACAATTTCCATCAGAATCAAATTAAGCATCACGATTCTAAACTTTTTCTTCAGAAAAATTCTTATGTTATTGAATGAAAAATACGATAATCAGTTTCGAAATGCATGGTCAAATTGTTTATTTGTATTTTTAAAACAATACCAAGCAAAGAACTACCATAATTTTGATAATTGCTAATAACCACTTAGATTGGCAATATATTTCTTTGCACCTGCATGAAAATTCAATTTTTAGTCTGCTAAAAACGAGATATAACATAAAGTTGTTATGAACATAAGTGTTTGAAGCTACGTAAACTACGAGTAGCGAGTTTATAGCTTTGGCAATACTTCACTCCAAGATTTCTTGAAATTTCAAGAAAATTGCCTTATTTCACAGGCTGAGCTTCTCCTTGATCTGAAGGGTTGCTCTCCTGATTCAATAATGTTGATAGAGCTGTTTTAGCCAAATAATAGAAGCGTACACGTTTAACAAGTTATCAATGGAGGCCAACATGTGCGGTCGCTACATGGAGGCCATGGACGGTGGAAATGATGTCTCTGGTAGGACATCTCTCATATTAAACCTAAAGCGAAGTAATTTCAAGAAAGCTATGTCTTATGAAGCTTGAAATAAACATGTTTCTTGTTGACGAAAAATGCCTCAAAGAAATGTAGCCAGTGGCGTCGCAAAGGGGTGAACTTTCCGGGAGGTCGATTATCTAATTTCTCGAAATCTGTTGAAAAACATCTAGGGGCGGGGGGGGGGGGGGAGTGGGCTGATCAGATCGATTTTGATTTTTGCACCTGCAAAAAAGGCACCGTTACGAAAAAAGCTGCTTGAGAAACTTGCTTGCCAAAAGATTTCGAAATAGATCAAAAAAATACTAAAAAGGCTTTTCCTAGAGTCTGAAGGGCGTGGCCGAGAAAATTGGTTTTCGTCCACCCCAGTTTTTCGAGCTGGCGACGCCACTGAGTGTAGCTACTGTTAAAAACATGAGCATTTATTCAGGCCTCGTTGAAATTCCAAAGCCATGACTAACATCACCCAAAACCAAACGCCAATCACCTTCAGAAGAAAATGAAGATGAGCTATATGAAGAAATGGAAGAAGACAGAAGAAGTAATGGAAAATTTTGCCAGATGGATTATTGTCACTAAAATTGAAGAACATAAAATTAATTGGTTACGGTTCCTATATTTCAAGGTTTTGATTTTTTATAAGACACATTCAAAAAATTATCTTCTACTGCTGTATTGATTTAAGTTTGAGCGTGGCTATCATTTTTAATTCGTTCAAAAATCCTGCAGAAGAAAGACTTACACTCTGGTACAAAATTTTGATATCGCAAAATAAACAAATTGACCTGTTTCATATACATACAATTATTTAATTCTCTAGGAAATCTTTCGTCTACTGAAATACATTCCATTTCCATAAGAACTAATTAATTTTGCCGAGGTTTGATGTTCTAATTTTTTGGGATAATTTGGAGCTCGAATGTTAAATACTATAAATTGGTTCTATGTTTGTGAACACGAGCGTAGATTCCCTCCTTTTTTAAGATTTATAGCTAAAAACATGTAAAGTTACAATTGTAAGATTGTATTCTATGGTAGGCTTCTTTTGCATGTAAATAGCGTGAATTAGTCCAATTAACTATAGACCTTGTAGTAAAGACAAGGCTTACCTTGTATAAATATTTCTCTGGTTTTTCTTTTTTCATTACTACGATTGTAATAGTTTTATTTTGTAAAACATGCTAGCCAGTTACAAATTACCTATGTAATAGTGAGATTTGTAATTGTAGTTTTAACTAGAATACAAAATAAACAGTTCCCATTATTATTATTATTATTATTATTATTATAGCAAAGAATTATTGTTATTATGAAACTTGTACCAACTTGAAATAAAGAGATCAGTATAAAAGTTTAACTACGACGATTTTTCTGCAATTATTTGTATACTTGAATTATTACTTTTAGGTGTAATCAAAATTTATGAATTTTTTTATTCCACCTACAAACTGGGTCTCTAGTTGCTATGTCACTCTTCCACAGGCACCGCGGAGCGTTGAGAAAAGTGAGGGGTTTAAAAAAAATGGGGGGGGGGGCTAAAACCATGTAAAAAGAGGCTTTACTGGTAGTTTATTACTTAATATTTGACATTTTTTGCAAAAAGCCCCCAACCCCCTCTGCTCCGCGGTGCCTGTTCCAAATAAGCCACTAATTTGAATTACAGTATTTTGATTTTCCATAGGAATTTTCGCATTATAATCTTTGCTTTTTTGGTTATATAAAATGTGAATTCAGCTGATTTAAATGATAATAATTCCCTGCTAAAAAATTCAGAAATGATAATAAAGAAGGACTTTAGTTGTAATGATATTGTTGGCTTGAAAACAAATGAAATTCAAGAAAAAGCAAATCTTAGATAAACCAAACGGCCCACTGTTCCACAAACAGAAAACTTCCATATGAAATGTAGTTGTCTTTAGAACGTTGAAATTTTAAGTTTAGTCTACTTTAGCTCTTTCTGAAAAAATCTTACTAGATATGAAGACAAAGTTTTCATTTGCTACAACCTCCTCGTTGATATACAAGTTCAACTCAGCAATTTGACAGTATTGACAAATCTCAGTGATAGTGTATCAAACCTATGTAGCTATATACCTTTGGTATAAGAGTTTCCATTACTTAGTTTCAAAAATATTCCACCGCAGCTGTCTACAAAACTGATCCCCGGATTAATGAGGATGTTAGCCAGGGTAGTAGCTACAGCTATACGTAACAAATATAGAGATGGTAACAAATCATGCTGCTAAGGCGCATTCACTGCGTAGCCCTGTGGCAAATTGACTTTCAGTGATATCATTCCAGGATTTACGTGTCCAAAGCCATGTCTATACACTGACGTAATAACTTGGTATTGCATGTCTACAAAATGCGTGGCAGGTATGCGCGCAATCTGACGTGCTGCAGACGATATTTTTCCTCACCGAACAATTAAATGCATTGATAATTTTCTTTGCTGCTTTAGTTTATTACCTTAAAGAATGCAACATGACATGTCTTTCTTCACTTCGCGTAGTTTTATAATGGTTTATAATTTTACAAATTAATATAGTTTTACAAAATGGCGATTTTCTGACATCTTTACGATAATTTGAGTTAACAATGTAAACAAAGAAATAAAGCATCATCCCCTTATTAATATAAACGTTTCTTATGATATAATAATACATCAATAGAATTCTTCGCACAGTTAAGAAACTCAAAGGATATTCAAATACATACAAAAATACGAAATCCCGGTAGATAAAAATGCTTATATATTTTATGAAAAACTGTTTATAAACTTTAATAATATAAAATCAAATCTGATTTACTTTAAAACAAAGTTTACTTCCATCGTTTATTGAAATAACTAATGAATGGAAAATGACCGTTAATGGGTTGCCTTTCATGAAAATGATTCTTTAGTTAATGATGCACTTGTGAAGTTTTGGAATTGGTTTGGAAAAGGACAGTTGGGCATGGGAATAATTTTCTGAGAAGTGCTGAAAAGGGATGGATGACAAATATGATGATAGAAATTAATAACTAGATAAAATGTTAGTAGGTGTTATTGAGAGACAAAAGGAAATCACGAAAAGGAATATTGCCCCATCCAATTAGGACAAAACTACATTTTTTCTTCTAGTTATTTAAAGGGACAGTGTTCTTAGTGTTAACCCAGGTTAAAAGTTGTAGTGTAAACAGGGCTTTGTTCTCATTCTTTTTCTACGGAAGCCTGGCCTTTTAACCGGAGGAAAGATAAGTATAACATTGCAACAGAAGAATAACACTTGGTTGGAATGTGCAGCCCTGAATGAGATCGTGTAAAGAGAGAAATGATTATGAATTAGCCAATACAAAAAGGGTACGCTGGATCAAGACCTTAATTGGAATTTTAGACAGGGAAAGCATTAGATGCGTTTAACTATACCATCTATAGAGTTGACACCACACTGTAATGGACGACCCTTTCAATCACCGATTGATCTTATCGGAATTTTTACATCATAACCACTCTAGGAATCACTACAAGCGACCTTCGGAAAAAAGTGACTTTTCGCTTTTATATACATTACATATACAATACTAATACTACTATACAATATGTTTTACTGCCTAACACACGATTTAAAGCATGCTAGATACTGCCATTTAAGGTCATCATTTCAGACTATTTCTTCCAAGAGTTAAAGCTCAAAGCTTCAAATACACACTATATGGTTTTACTTAAGAAAATGCACCTTGGCGCTACTTGCCCGAGAGGGGTGGTTCATCTTCGGTTTGTCTAATGTAATTAATGGCGGAGTTTGTTTCAACGAAACCTTTTTCAGGGCGTGGTTGGCATCATTTATAGTATGTGCACGCAAGCGTGACTCGTCGATGCCTGAAACAGGCATGTAGCATGACGATAAGGGTCTCGGGTGTTTTCTAGTGGCCTCAGGGGGCGTTGTGTAATATCCTTTAGACGATGCCCGAACCGCTACGGTTGTCTCTTTACCTGTGGAAGGCGCACTCGTTGGCCGTTGTTGTTTTGTTTTAGAAGATCTGGTCGTCCTTCTGTCGGTTTCCAGTTGGGGATCACTACTTGTGTCGTTGTCTCGTAAGGCAGTCAGGCTCACGTCCGCTCTTGCTCGTGATAATATGATTTGCTGTCAGAGAAAATATACATTAATTGAAAAATATACATCAACATTAACTGAAAAATTTAAAACCTACTTTTAGGTTGATAATTTTCAAACCCTTAACTGGTTCCTTTCTTTGAAATTTCACAAAGAAAAGCCAAAGAAACGAGAAGGACGTCTCCAGCACTACATAGCTAATACAACTGTTGTATGAATATATAATCGGCAAAATGTTATTCTCTTTGACCAGGCCATATTTCTCTTGTTTCAAAATACATCCAAAGAAATTGTTTGCCTTCTTGATACTTACTTGGTATTATTTCAAAGCTTCAACTGGCAAGACAGGATTTGTAGCATAAAGTGCTAGCTCAATGGTTATATTGACAAATAAAATCTTAATTCAATTGCCTCTCCATATTACAAACGCGCCTTCTGTTTATCTCCAATCAGTGTGATTTTTTGACTTTTAATTTTTTAGTACCACCTTTTTTTAAAAAATTAGCAACGCTTGAGCTGTTGATGAAACGATAAAATCGTAATCAATCTGCACCTCAAGAAGCAATCATATCGAAAATTCTTCAATCAAATATCTATAAATTTTGTTTTCTGCTTACAGAACTTTTAAAAACTTGTTTAAAAAAGCAAATTCTTGAATGATCTAAAGTTGGATGATGTTAATAGTTATTTTAGCGAGACCATATATGAGCAAATAGAAAAACAGAGACCCACAAGATTCCTTTCGCCAACAAAAAAATATGCTTAGGGTTTATGGACGAGCAACTAGGCCTATTAAAGTTTAACGAAACTTGTTCTCGCCGCCCTTAAGAGAGTTTAGGCAGAGTTAAAACATCCAGTATTTTTTACTTAAAAATTATACAAAATTGTATGATAGCATAAACAAAGGGTGAGGGCTTGCGGAGGTCATATGTATGGATCCATCAAAAGCAGTCAAGGGCCGTTTCATACGTCGAGCCGAACCGTGCCGAACCAAGTTAATACTGATTGGTTCGGCTTTATAAAAACAATTTCCACTTGGTTCGACAGGACCCGACTGAGTCTAACCATTCGCCTATAGCTCCTCGCCCAGTAGGCCACGACCAGGTTAAACTTATGAAACCATATGTCGTGCCGTTCCATGCTGAACCTCACAAGCACTTGCGCATCATTACGTAAACAAAATAAATGGCTGACGATGACCACAACCATTTTACCACGAGAGCTTTGCTCGAAAAAAATTTGCTCGAGAAGAAGAGGAATCAATATGATGGTGCGTTTAAATATTTTATCGCAGCAATAACGCAGAGGAAAATCTTTACTATGGTTGATAATTGCAATTTTGCAGTCCTCTGGAGGAAGCAAGGAAAGCATAAGACCCTGTCGCCATTTGCTCTGAAAAATTAAGGACAAATTACTCTGTTGAAAGATTTAAGAAGGTTTTTTAGAGTGCACAAAGTGACTGTATGCAAATCCTTTGTGTGTTGATATGTTGGGCAGGCACTGGTGAAGATTCGACATGGAACGGCTCGACTTCAGCACGCGTGTATAAACCAAGTCGTACCACTTGTCGTACCAATGCCGAACCTCAGTTCTTCAGATTCGGGACGTTACGGCGCGACGTATAAAACAGCCCTAACTATCAACTGTTAACTGCTAATTGTATGCATAGGGACATAGTCTAAGTGATATGCAGCTCATCTAGAGCTATCTGTCTATCAAAGAGAAATTTGATAATTATTTCAGCGACTAGAGCGAGTAATATTGGTGCACCACAAGGATCGATCTTAGGGTTTCTGCTGCTCAATGCATTTATAATCGACACTTGCTTATCTAACAAAACTACTAAGAATTGTGATTATGCTAGTTGCACCACTTCATATGCGTGCCCCTCTGATCTCGACACAAATGCTTGACTTTTAAAATAAATTGGTCACATGCTCCCAAATAAGTTTTCTGGTACGTGCAAGAAGCTTAGTAGTCGCAAATGCCATAGCAAAAATTCCACAATGTCACAAATGCCAGAAATTCTGTGGCCAGAAAAATACTAGCTATGAATGAAACATTTGCACACCAGAAGACACGATGCAAGACTGTACCTGCCAGGGAAAGAAAGGAAGATGTGGAGTGATAACCAGAGAGATGTGTGAAAATAAGAAAGGAGAACCTTGCATGGCAATCAAAACGAGTTCAATGAGTAGCTTCCTCAAGCTACTTTGAAAGAAAATATATTCGCCAGAAAATAGTTTCTTCGTGACTGTCAGAAGAGGAAGCAAGAGGAGAAAAAGATTGACTTAGGGACAAGGCAGTGCATGTGCATTTTGTGCGACAAAAATCAAATACAGCCAGATAAGATTCCTGGAGATGGCTTAGAAAATGTTTTTGAAGAGGAAGACAGTAAGTTTGACACTAACAGCGTAAGAGCAAGCTTCATCTACAAATATAATCAAAATAAGCATAGATAAAATTCGAGACAGATGGTTTGTATACTGCGTAGAGAGACAGCAGAGACAGCAGAAACAGCAAGGCATATGGTCAATGGACACAAGCCGGTAAAGGTATGAACACCAGCCATTTGCAGCCACAAAGAATGGAGGCGTTCGAATTATCCGGGGCATGACACAGATAAGAGACAAAATTGCAATCTCCAAGCAGATATTAACTATTATAATTTAGAAAAATAACGAAGATGAGAGATCAATTTTTTGTCTGATCTGCTCATAGATTTGCTACCTGATGAAATTCTGTGACAATTCAAGCAACCAAATTTTGAAACACGCTTTATACCCTATCTTTTTCACAGACCGATGGCTATACCCACAAAAATATTAAGTTATGTACTTATTACTGGTGATAGGTTTTTAATGAAAAACTCCAAACAAAATGCTGTCGATTCATCCCTTCAAATAATTCTTTAGATACGTTTCTTTCCACAAATCCCCCTTCGAATAGTTGAACATCTTATGGAGGAATGTTGTGAGGAATGCTTCTATTAAAGTTCATGCTAGTCGCCAAATATTTACTTTGCCTTTAAAGTCAGTTTCCTTATAAATAGACTTAACTGCTTATAAAAAGACGAATTCGTCTTGCGGGAGCTAAATTCATGCACAATTCAGTGCATGGCATACGTCGAAGCTTTGTACAGGACAATGTGCTAAATCCCCTTAGTAAAGCATTAAATAATGCAAGTAGGTCAAAACTATAATATAAACTGTGCAAACAGATGAAGTTTTCCTTTAATGACTCCTTTGAAATAGTGGGATTAAAAATATTTTCTGACCTCGATGCTGTTTGCTCCCATCAAAGCCCTTAATAAATTGTGCCATACAATATTAAAGAGGAGGTATTTTGAAAATCTGAGTTAGTTTTACTCTTCAGATAAAAAGGCATTCAACATGGCTAGACGAATGGAATAGTCTGTACTTCTAAATAAAGCCTGATTGAAAACATTTGGGCATAAAACATTGTGGCAGTTGAAATGAAGAAGAATAAATGCTGTGATGAAGTTCTATTTATTCTTGATGAAGAATACATTGTACAGTGGAATCAAGCAATTTTGGATTCGTTAAAAACCGTGAAATTATTTTGCAATAACAGGAGTTTGTTACACAGAGTGCATTTGATAGGGGTCAGACTTAGTTCGTAATAGCGAGAAGCTGATTATAAACAGGGATTCCACTGTATATTCATAAATAGACACCTAAAACCCTAATAAGGTAATATGTAATACTGGATTCTGCAAAGAAATCGGCCAGCCCAAAGAAGAACAACAAACCTTAATAGAACCATGAAATTAAAGTCAAATTTTCACGTATTTCGCAAAATATGGTGTATCTTATGGCAGCGAAAGCATGGCATAACATAAGTAGTCAGAAAAATAACGTGGGTGTAGACCAGGCAATTACGTGTGATTATGGAGCTATCGGTGTCTTAGCCTAGCTGGATGCTCTTGGCCCGAAAGAGAGGAAATCTGCTTAATCATTAAATTTGCTTCAACCACCAGAAGAAAGAGCCTGGGTACCTACTAAGGTGGAAAGAAAAGACATTTTAGGCAAATTGTACTTCGATATAAATTTTTCAATTTTCAGCAAAAAACGTACAATTCCCGATAGGGTTTAGAAAGCTGTTAGGCTAGACAAAAAATTCATTATAATAATGAAAAATTAGACTGAGAAAGACAAACACACCCAAGAGTCAAGGAAAGCAAAAAATTGTTTGCATGTTTAGACATGACGATTAATGGATGGAAAAGAATGGAAAGCTTGTTAGAACCTCCTTTAATGTATTAAGACAGTGAGAACTATAATTATCAAACCAAGACAGAGAGACTTGACATAGTTAAAGGAATACAGGAGCCTTTCTCAACAGCTAAATCGATCAAGTGCAAGACCCCTCAATCTAAATGAAAGGAACAATCTGCAGACCATCTTACCATGTTACTTTCCATTAGACTTGATACTTAATCGGCCGTTATTCGAATAAAACTTGTTCAATACAATAAAACTTAGAATTAAAGTTATCGAATAAGTAGGGTTTTGAAACATTTACCAGCAAAAAAGTAAAACAAACGAGTTGAAAACATTGGAACAGTGTCTGATACAATATATACAACAATGGGTTATGAAAGTACGTTTTATGCCAGAATCTCTTCTTTCAGTGGAAGTAGTTGCTCTACTGTCTACTAGTTAATAACTAAGCTTTGTAATCTACAATCCCGGACAAAAATGGCTGAGACGTTTGAAGAAAGTTGACGTTTTCTCTTGCATCTTTTTCTCAACAATTTGGTCCGGGATTGTAAGTATCCAAGATGTACTAAAAGGGAGGTTGTTTATCTTTGATATCTTTCATATTGAGTACTCAAAATATTGGCTTCCTTATTTAGGTTTTGAAAGATTTTTCTGTCACAGAATTAATGAGTGAATGCCGTGCATATATGGAAGATAACATAATGGTCACACACCTGCATTGCATTCTTTGCTGCAATCAAGTTGTCCTCCTGGAAGTATGTTACACAAAATTTAACAGTCGCACGAATGAATCAGCCCAAAAATATGTTTACGAAAGATTGATCTGAAAATATCTAACTTAACAGATGCCAGGGTCAGTTATTATTTGATAAAAAAGGTCAGAAGGTTTGATGAACAACAGCTATCATTAAACTGGTCACAAAAACATGATTTTGTCAAGAGTGGAGTCTTTTTGCTTGTCATCAAAAACTGATATTAAGGATGTTCAGAAACAAGCTTTGATTAATTTTTAATGTTTCGAAGAAAAACCTTCAAGCATCCTAACATGCATATACTCTATTCATTGCACATGTCTAAGCAAAAAATCTACGCCTGAAATAAATCAATTTACAATGTCACCTAAACCATATTTTTTCTATGAAAACCAAAAAAGATTTCAATGCTTCGATATTTTTTAATTTTTTGAATAAGCAAGAACTTTTAAATGCATTTAAATGACATTGTAATCCAGCAAAAAAGCTTAAAATTGACAAAAAGTACCTGTTTGACGTTTCTTTCTGACCTGACTTGATAAAGCTCATCACATTTTCGAATATATTGTTGTCTAGGATAGAATAGTGTCACTTAGTGCCTTTTAGAAACTGAAATTAATCAAAAGCATTTTCAAAGAAAGTCCACACTTCTAGACCTTCAAATTCTTCAAAGGGTTATCACAAAAGTTTTGTAGTAAACATCTGAAAACTACTTTTAATTGACGAAACATTTACCTACAAATAAATCAAAAGGGCTCCAAAAGCAGCGCATTCCTTATGATTTATGCATCATTTATGCAAAGGACCCAACGAATAAATTAACAGTCTTCTAGATATGGACAGTTTGCAACGTTTGCAAGAATAACCGTTCGACTGAGAAGCATTTTGAGTGAAAGCTAACAAAACAGTTCTTAAAATTTTGCTATGCTTGCATGTTCACAATCAACTTTAACGGACTCTTGAAACCAGATAATAATTCTCTGCTCACATTCTTCAGAATAAGGATAATCTTCAGAATTGGGATGATCAGAATTGGTGGCTACATAGAATTTGGAATGTTTCAGTCTTCAGCAAGCAGCAACTACCAAAACAGACACGTGCTATGCAGCCACCAATTCTCCTTAAGGAGCGTTTCTTGAATTGTATGTCATGTACAATTGTGTGTAGTTTAACTTTTATTTAACGCCATGGGGTAATCATACATTAATGCGTCTTATGGTTGGTCCTTGTAGCATTGTTGAGTAGCTTGTAAGTAGTTTAATTCAATAACATGTAGTGAAAATTCTTAGAGGATACATAAAGAACATTCCTTTTCCATTACTGCTAAATGTATCTTGAAATATTCTTACTTTCTTTAGGTTGAATAAGATACTTAAAGTTATTTCTATAAAAAATGTCTTTACAGTTGGTACAAACTAGCTAGTCTTTAGAATCAGATTCAACACTTGCAATATAAACAAATAAAAAGTAAAAAAAGTTTTAAAATTAATACAAATACGATTATATAATTCTAACAACTGTCGTTTGTTCAAGCGCTAATCCTCTTATTAGTCCAAACTTAGTTAGAATAAAAAATTCTGTGATATTAAATTATATTTTCAAATTGTGATAAGAATATGATTGGAGCTTATAAACAATTTAAAATTTGGATAAAAATTGAAAAAGCAAGTGCCTTTGTAAAGTCGTCACTTCCAAGGAGAAAAAAAGCAAAGTGGTAAAAGTAGGCAAATGTGTTCCATTGTAAAACAAAGTGAAGATGAGTACCTTAAACTTGAATTGTCTATCATTAGATCGTTGATTTTTTGTGAATATTGTTCATCCACCTCAGAAACCTGGAGCATAAAAAGTTACGGATAAGACAATGATAAACCGAAAGAATCGGTGAAATATTACGCTGGTTACTTATTTAATTTTGAAGCAACATAAATTCGAAGCCTCGACGCCCTGTTGCATTCTTTCCACTTGTTTTACACGCACTAAAATTACTGTTCTATTTGCCCTAATAAATTACTGGTAAAAATCCAGATATTCTACATTATATGTGTTCTACTTTGATGGTTGCGTCTCTTTCACTACAGGTTTGATAATCCGAGGTGCCTGAAGAAAAAAAGATTGCAGCTGGTTTCTGATGCATTAAAGATAATATTGTGCCATTGAAACGTTCAGTTCTTTCCAGGCAACTTTTCACAATCTAGCTTCATTATTAGTAGAACGAATATCTGATTATTCATTTGTTTATTTGGGATTTCTTGTATTTGTTCTATGTGTTACTACTTAGCTTTCGAAATTAGGCTTTGAGACACTGAAAAGCTTTGCTTAAGGAGCAGTGTCCTGGTCCTTCTACTAGATGAGACCACACCTCGTGATTCCTAAACTTGGAATAACAGACAGTTAGCGGCATCGCTCTTCTACATGAAAGCTTGGGCATGATAGTGCCTCGAGCCACAGACCCTTTTGTCTGTCATCCATCACCCTAACCACTGTGCCACCCTTGAACCTATCGTCCATCACCCTAACCACTGTGGCAACAAACAGTTCATGTATCCGCCATCGCCATAAACCCCTATCTTTACATTAACTATTTGTGTGTGCCGATGGTATGATTGTGAATATCCTTGGTTTTGAATGAAATAAAGCATAGCAAATATCACGATGGATCCTTATTATAAAGAGAAGTTCAACTCTGGCTAAAGTTTAGTCTATTCTGTCAAAAACATGTCCTTTGCGGAACTTTCATTTCGGTTCTGCATGATCTATTTCTTTCTTGGGCATTAGGGGATTGTTGAGAAACACACAGAAAAATCAGGGCTGAGCTCAATATGCTCCAAGATTAGGGGAATAGAAGATATTTAACCGATGTCGGAAAATTTTTAAAAGAGGTACAAAAATAGCTACAATGAAAAGCCCGTATCAAGAGTATGCTTCCGAGATCAGGAGATTGGATATTAAACAAATAAGGGTTGGAAGCCATTTATTAGTGAAATAACAAAAAATTAAGACACCTTATTTAAAATCTTATGTATGTGGTTACTGCCTCATACATAATAACATAAATCCCCTAAATAACGATATTTTGGAGAAATGCAGATAAAAATTCAAGGAACATTCCATATTCACATTTTGGCGCTTATGTGGCACCAGGTCCTTAATACTTATGGATTTAGTGGCAAAATCGTTATCTAGTGTGACAGGTTACACACAAATGAAATCCAGCTCCAATCCTTTTTGTAATCATTTATATGAAAGTCTAGTAGTTGCATTTATAATAATTTTATTGAAAATATGAAACATATCTAGCGACAAACATCACAATTATTACAATACTTTGACAATTACCCACCTTTTCAGCAAAATGGTCTTTGTACATTTGTAACTTGACTTTCTGCAAAGAAAAATACAACTTGACTGATACAGCCTTGTTCCCACAGTAGAACAGCGCAAAAGAGAAATTCCATGATATGTAGAATACAATGTTTGTTAAAAATATCGTACTTCATCATATTTTTCAGAGTAATGATGTCCTTGTATTCCTCTTTGCTACTTGGCACGACTTAGACAAAATAATTCGAGAACATATTCCTTTTAGAGAAACCTAATCTGTAAAGAAGTGAAAGTTAATTGACCCAACAAAATATCAAACATAGAAAACTCATGTAAAAACGAAAACTAATTACAAAAAACAAAATCTTTACAAATGAATGGTAAAGATGAATTATTTTAGTAAAGGTAGCTACTAAAACCGTCACAAATTTTAACTACAAAAATATCACAGAAAGTGGGCAAGAAGAACATTTAAATGAAATGGGAAAAGTTAAACATTCGTCTTTATTGAGCTGATTGACAATGAAACTGAAAATATAAAGGTGGTGATGATAAAAGAGTGTAGCTTCTTGAATATATAACCTGTAACAGGAAAAACGCAATATGAATTGGCAGATAGACGCTACCACAGTAAGAGAGATATAGATTCACAAGAGATATGGGGAAACAAGCAAGCTACATGTAATCTTTGTTAGGCAAAATTTTAAGGTTACTGCATACTACAGATAGCTTAAAGAACGAGAGCACAGTAGTTGAACCACATGTTGCAAATTAGACGAAATGCAACCATGATGCCAAATGAGATGAAATTCCACCAGAGAGTACAGGGCAGATGTTATTCACTAGATTGAAACGTATGCAATGTAACAGTCGACAATTATCAATAAAAAGTGCAGTTTCGAAGGATCCTGATGACATATCAAGCTGGTGTTTATTTAAAGACCTCAAAATGAGGCATTTTTAGCAACGTTAATTACATTGCATTTCTTTTGTAGCAGTCAACGCAGTGCCAACACAGAAACCTTGGTTATAACGAGATATCTTCACAAAAGATTCTGTCTAGCTTAGCTGGTACATTGTTGTTTGATTCAAAGATAAAACATAGTTTCGGGAACGAATGATGATAAAAACTTAGAAAAGCCAGTGGGAAAACGAGCAGGGCTATGACGTCAACTTAACTATTATGCGAGAAAATGTCTGCAAAGTCGGAATAAAGTTTCCATTTTATAAATCAAATCTTTACTCGCCGAAAAAAACAAGAATGCCTTGTGAAAGAACAAGGAGATAAAAAGAAAACGAAAAAATGCCAAGGTGCAGACCGACATACATTAATAGAAACAGACAAGAATCGTCCACAAACGTTCATCAAATGAAGATTCTTATAAACTTTTTTTAGTAATTAAACAGAACAATTACTTATATCATACTTTTTCCAAAAAACAGTAACAAGTTGAGATTTGTAGGACTTTAAAGTGCCACTGAATTGAAAAAAATGAAATTTCTTTTATTGTTGATTCTGGTAGACTAATCATCGCTGATTTCGAAAAAAAGTTTAGTTTTTTAATTTGGAGCCCACAAATAGGGGTTTATGGGGTTCTTTTGCGAGTAGGTCGTGCGAAAAGAGGCTGGGGCGAGTGACGCATTCAGATTTATATAGTCAATTCAGCCATAGTGAGGGCTGTAAGAAGATAAAAAGTTACAAATTGTGTAAAACATGATACAAGCATGAAACCTGATAGAGATAGGCAGTTTGATACGCCGAAAAAGATGGGGTGTGAATAGACGCTGACAAATATCCCCTTGTGCTATTTATAGAGTGGGGTACTAGGTTCCAAACCTCTAAGCAGTAATTGACATAATTTAGCCATTAGATCGCGAAACCAGCATGGAACGTGGTAGTAATAGGCAGTTTGATACGCTAAAAAGATAGGATATGAATTGACCCTGAAAAATCCCCCTTGTGCTATTTATAGAGTGGGGTACTAGGTTCCAAACCTCTAAGCAGTAATTGAGATAATTTAGCCATTAGATCGCGATACCAGCATGGAACTTGGTAGTAAAAGGCAGTTTGATACGCCGAAAAGATAGGATATGAATTGACCCTGAAAAATCCCCCTTGTGCTATTTATAGACTGGGGTACCAGGTCCTAGACCTCTAAGCAGTAATTGACATAATTTAGCCATTAGATCGCGATACCAGCTTGGAACTTGGTAGTAAAAGGCAGTTTGATACGCCAAAAAGTTAGGAAGCGAATAGACGCTGAAAAATACCACTTATGCTATTTATAGACTGGGGTACCAGGTCCCAGACCTCTAAGGAGTGATTGTCATAATTTAACTTTTAGATCGCGACATCAGCATGGAACTTTGTAGAGATGAGCAGTTTGATACGCTGAAAAGGATAGGATGCGAATAGACGCCGAAAAATTTCCCTTGTGCTATTTATAGACTGGGATACTAGATTCCAAACCTCTTAGCAGTAATTGTCACAATTTAACCATTAGATTGTGATACCAGCATGAAACTTGATGGAGATAGGCAGTTTGATACGCCAAAAAGATGGGGTGTGAATAGACGCTTAAAAATATCCCACCGTGCTACTTATGGACTTTTAATCAATTCCATTTAAAACGAACTTCTTTACTTTTTGAGGTCCCCTGACCACGAGGTTCTGGGGCAACTTATCCCATCTTGACGGCCCTGGCAATAACTGATGCTTTGACAGTGGCAACGCAAGTTGGAAAGTGGGAAAAGCGCCGAAAAATGTGCAATTTGTGTGGTTCTATAATAGATCAACTTTTCCCTTGATCAGTTTGCTCACTTGTATCCATAATTTATAAAGCTGTTCGTAAAAGCATTCTTATTCGATACGCTCAATAATTCACAAAAGGTAAATGATCGGCATGAAGTCTTGGTAAAAACTGCACGCAAAAAGTTTGCTCATTTTGTATGGGCTCGAAATTTTCGCAAGAAAATACCTTGCACGTGTCTTGTAGTTAGATAGCTAGTGATATTTAGAGCACAAGTATCGCACTATTTCCATCCACTTCACGTTTTTTTTGTTTTTTTATCGCACTCGAAATACAGTCTTCAGTACTGAAGCCCGCATCACTTCCGCGACTTATAAACGTTAATGCGTCACACATTCCTGAAATTCCTCACAGACCGCGCACAAACTTTCGCACAAAAAGTCTTGAAAATCGCAACTTTGAAGCGTTGTAGCTTCAAAACACTTCAAATTCCGAAAAGCGAACTTCAGCATCGGATTCAGGAGCACCGACTTGACTTAGAACATCAATAAAAAAAATTTTGATTTTTCCAGTTCAGTGGCACTTTAAGACCTAACTTAACTACACATCTTCTATGCATTCTGTATACAAAACTTATTTTGACGTGGTTAATTAAAAGAAAATGGTAATCAGCTCATACCACATCATGGAGCTCATTTGTTGCGGATCGGTGAAATTTTCTTGATTTTTCGAGGTCTCCCTTCATTTGCTCATTCTCTGATTTCACTTGCTAAAAAGCGAACATAAGAATTTCTTAAACTTATGACAATATAGATTTATGTTCAAACGTGTTTGAAGACATTCACTTTGACGCTTTCAACCGTCAAACTTTCAACTTTCAACTTTAACGATTATCAAAGCCATGTATCCTATGCAGAAAGTTTAGACGAGAAAACAATACAGTAACTCTGTTGAAATTAACAGAATCTTCTTCGTGCATTAAAAATAAATTAAGTAATGGTTAGGGCTAACGTGTATCTGGTGTCTAAAATGTAACGAATCTAAAAACATTGAAGGAAACAGTACATCAAGCTGTAAGAAAACAAGCTACGAATTGGTCACCAGAAAATGGTTGGGTTGTCAGGATGAAGGTCTTTTATAACATTTTGGCCATTCAACATGTTTCAATTTCATTTTATAGTCATTTTACAGTCATTTTACAGAAATATCTAACAGATAGATTTCTACCGAGGCTTATTCCAAATAATTTGGCAACTATTAATGGCAAGTTTATCTCTTCCAATGATAAAAATTTCGAAATATCTTCAATGAAACGCAATTTTGAACTGAAACTTTATAATTCATGACTTGCCTATATATGGCAATTTGCACAATATGCTGAATCAATGAAAAAACACTGTACTTATACAGTTCATCTACTGAAGCACCTGCTGTAGCTCAAATTCTATTCTTAATCGTTTCTACAAAAAATTCAGCAATGGTCTTTTCAACTTACTATGTGCTCACGATAAAAAGGTTTTAGATATCTTTTTTTCGCACGAGGGCTTTGAGCAATATTGGAAGAAAGGCCTATTCCATAACTTTTCGAGAATTATTGCTCATGCCAAAAGCAAGGTTCTAGAATGAAATTCTATGTGAATGTATGAGAGCTATTTACGCTCCAAAGTCTTATGCAATGTCGATTTTAGATAGGACCGTGATTCTGACAGCATGGGAACTTTAGACAAGCAGTCACTGATCAAAGTTTTTTTACGATCATAATGAACAAAATAATACGTAAAAAAAGCATGTGAAGCCCATTCTGAATGGCAGATCTAAAATTTCATGCGAGGAAATATCAAATAACCAAAACAAAGAACAAGAAAGTGAGTCATATTTAAAAATAGGTCTCTGAGTCTAAATTAATATTCACAAACTAAAAGAAATTATGAAGCACCTGTTAGGAAGAAGATCTTATCCACTTACTCAATATAACTACGTAATATTCATTGAAGAGCATACTTGATCAAATATCTAACGTTAATCCTATGTTTAGGCCAAAGAGATTGTTTTTTAAAGGAAGTAATCTATCACTAATGTAACAGCAGATTCTTTAATATTAAAAATGTAATAACCCTATGGAAACAAAACAAAAGTTTGCTTCGACAAAATCAAACCAGTGATTGTTCCCATTACCTGCTTTACTGCTAGGTAGATAAAAATGCATTTGTTGCTAATGCGGTTAGCTTGAACGGGTTGAAAGGCAGGCAATGTATTCAACTGGGTGCATCAGAATGTCATCCTAATTTTGACTGTGTAATGAACTAACATCATTGCATTATTAAGGAAAAAATGTCAACATTGAATAAAAACGATTAATGACACAAACCTCAAGTTCTGCCATGATTATCTTCAATCTTTCGGCATCAGCTACAGTTGCAGTAAACTTTCTAAGAAGAACCTGCGAAATGGCATCATCATTAAAATTAACACATAATATACACTTGAATAATATATAAATATTTATAGAAAAACACATATTGATATTATAGAAATAAACTTGCATTTTTCAAAACATGCACGAAATGAATTAGCAAAATTTCATATAAAGCTTGATTGAAAATACTTATTAACAATGCAACGATCGCTAGAATAACTACTTACTTGATAGACAACATGCTTTGGTGCCTAACAATTTGGGCAACCTTTGATTTTTTTTTAAAAAATTTCTTAGGAAACCCGTGTTTTTATAGAATTTGCAGAATTTTTGAAAACATTCAGCACAATATATTACTACATTGCAGCTCTTATCTTGCTGCAATGGTTTTAGTATTTTGGTTCACAGATGTTAGAAAAATAACAAGAATTAACTCTTTCACGTCACATCTTAATGGGAATGACTCCTTCCTGAGCTAAAACTGCACTGGGTCCCCAGTTCCTAACATGTTGTTCAGGCTTAGAGATTCGGTACGAGTCTATCGTGTTAGTCTCGTTGATTTTGTCGTTGCGGTAACATGGCCGCCTCACAAGAACTGTCAATTGTTGATTTGTCGACGACAAGTATAAATCTTTTGAAAAAATAGAATAAGGAAAATCACAAAAGGGTTTTAATGTGGGCATACAGGATAGGAAATTGTGGCATCAATTCGAAGCTAAAAACTGTTCAGTTCAAAGGTCTCAACTGGGATTAACGCGTCAAATATAAATTAAGGCGTAACGGTGGTACGCTATCTAAAAGTCTTAATTGAGACAAAAAACTTTTGGCGTATAAACGCAAAGAAATAGTTTGGATATCTACAACTGCAAGCACTATTTTCTATATAGATTAAAAGACTGTGCCAATACAAAATGAAAAAAGAAAACCTACGTCCATTTCCTTTTTGTTTGACTCGACTATCAACGCTATTTGTCGCCGATGCTCTTTCGTCACCACATCCAGTTCCTTGTTTTTGTCAGCAATCAAGTCATTCCCTGCAATGGCAAAATGATAAAACCAAAATTCAAGAACATATGATTGTTATAAAGCTTTTATCACAGTATGTAAAGTTGTAAACCGATATGGGATATGTTTTAGCAAAATTTTTCAAGTAATGTTATTGAAACAGCAAACAAAGACACAGCATTGCTAACATCAAAAGATATCGCGAAGTTAAAAATAGGGTGAACTAAAATAGGAGGTTCAGGATCTTTAGTTAGACATCAATGTTGATAGTATATGAAGTATCATATGATAGCCATGCGTACTGGGCTTCAAAATATATAATCGATTAAAATTTCAAAGATAATAATTGTATCACTTTTTCAGAACTTATTTCTGACAAATTTTGAAAATATTTATTATTGCGATTTTGGCAAAGAAACGTTTTACCTCGAGATTGATGGTTGGTCAAATGGAACCAAAATAAAAATTAACCTTATTTTAATAAAAAGAAAATAACACTGCTACATTTGAAATTCCTAAAGAAAAATGTTTGCTTCAAAGGTGGAATAAACTTCGGGTAGATAAAAAGCCAAAAGCAGCATAGCATAAGACGAAGTGATTTAATAGTATTTCTGGCTTTATTTAATACGCATAGACGAACAAGCTGATTTCTGGCTGTCTTATTAATACTATTCGCAGCGGAGGTTTAACATGTGCAATATTGCTTGCATGAAAGATTCCACAGAATAGCATCCGCAAGAATCTTATTCAACGGATATATAAACTCTACGCCGCAGCTTTGTTTGATCTAAAGTTTCCGCGCGGCAACCGTCTAGCGGTCTGGAGTGACAACTGTGCGGCATCAGCCCATAGGTTGCTACAGATTGTAGAATATCGCTTGTGAACAGATCCTGCTTGAAATAAACAATTAAGAATTTAGAATAATCTTAGCTGTGCTAAGCATATGCAACAAGGTGGTCTTTTCGGAAATAGTCTTGGGTTCGGCATCTTAGATTCGCTGGAGGCAAACAGGTTTCCTTAGCTAAGATGGGAACAAATCTTTTTCGCCGCAGAGAGATAAAAACAAGTTGTTTACCAAATGGTCATTCAAGAGCGTAGGAGTGAAACATGAGCATTTTCATGACCTTTGAGTATTTTAGAGCTACAACGAACAAACAACCAGAAGGACTGCACAACATTTATCCATCAAAAGGTGTGATGGGCGAAAATCTATTTATTCATCTTAAATATCTTCCATGACGTCAAAGACTGTGAAGTGCCCACAAAGCTATTCATAAACAACTAGAAATACAGTGAGCAAACCTATCCTAAAAGGACGTTTTTACAGCATGTATTTGTAAATCTTACAACAAGCTCCTTTTAGAAGTGTAAATAACAGTGTAGTAGATAGCTAGATATGAGCAAGCACGCGAAGTCACGCTAAAATGAGGCTCATCTATCTGAAAACTAAGTAAAGGCAGGGTTTCATGTTACGATGAATGAAAGGGTGTGGCAGGCTATTCGGAAGACAGGATCGGGTTCTCAGCTTGAATTGACCAATCAATGCTTAACGCTCTAACCATGATGAAAGATGCATCATAATAGCACCAATTTCATAAACTTTACTGCGAAACTATCGCACCCAGGTCCAATAACAATCTATCTTAACCAGAAAAATTGTATTACCCAAGCAAATGATTCACTTTGCAGAATCGCAACCCTGAAACATGTATTTTGGAATAACCATATTTTTCTTTTCAACTGACTAACAACATTCAACCCCATCCGGCACCTTACCAAAGTATGGTATATTTTTGCATTAAATTGTTAAACAAGATTGCGATTTTGGCTAAAAATAGTTTAACGTTGAGATTGACATATGAAAACCTTTGATATAAGAGGTTATAGTGCGATTTACAAAATTAAAGATTTCTTAGACAAGATATTTTGACTATGCAAATTTCCATGTGTGTAGATGTTTAATTTAATTTTGACAGTTATTGGATATTTGAAGTATTCGTGATAAAATCGGGTTTTTTCCAAACGTCTTGCAGCATAGCACCGTTCGAAATGATGTTCCAGTTGATCTACGAATTTTATCGATGTGGATATTTTGACAGCAAAATGAAACAAGGAGAGGAAGAAGAACAAGAAGAAGAGAGAGGAAGGAAAGAAACATGATATTGTGTCTATCAAAGATTTCTAACTCCGACTAACCCCAATAGCATAGATCGAAGATGTGCAATGGCGTGACAGGAATAAAATGCAAGCAAGCTTTTTAAATTAATTGTTATTTCAACATTTTCCAGTTAATTTCAATAAATAACAATAAAAGGAATATGACGTATCAATTTTTAAGATGTTGAAGATGAAAACATTGATAGGCACGTCTCCAAAGGGACACTTCGAAACAATTTTTAGGGCCTTAGTTAACTCTTGATGACTATAAATCGCTACAATGGGCTGCAGTTTTAACTTCAAAGGTTTGGTTTCATCAAAACTTTTCCTTAAAAGAAAACTGCATATGATCACAGAATTGCGTATCGCAAAAATTCACACGAACCCAGTATGCTATTGACAAAACCAATCCACACCCAAAGAAAAGAAACAAACCCTGCAGTTTTAGATATTTTAGAAGAATACAAACACATGAACCACTTTAACTACTGCTTTTGGCAGCTTTATCAAAGTGTATCTTTGGAATTAATCCATCTTTAGTTCTTGGAACAGGAAGAGCATGATTATAAGAGACAGGAAGATACTTACTTTGATCTAGCAACAGCTTCTCGGTTTTACGCTCGTGCTCAATTTTCATTTCCAACTGAAAGAAAATAACTAGGATAAGAATCATCGTTCGAGAAATTGTAACTATTTTCAGAGGAGTTGAGGGGCCAATTGTATATTAACAAAAGCAATGCTCAAAAAGACAACACAACAAAAGAAAATGATTGTTTGCCTAACGGTATCTACAGTATTCTCTCCAATTAGCGGACACCGTCGGGGCACGAGCAAGGTGTCTGCTAATTGGAAATGTCCGCTATTTGGAAAGTTTTGCAATATAAGTCTCAAATTTGAAAATAGACCCGAGTTTTGTATTTAAAAGTTGTAAACAGTGGTGGCGCCAGGGGAGGGCTACAGCCCCTCCGTCAGAAGCATCTAGGCGCCAGGGGAGGGCTACAGCCCCCCATCGGAGGAAGTTATTGGAAAGAGTTTGAATCGTGGAGGTGGCTATGGTCTGGAGATTCCAGTAATTTACCACTTTCATGGACAAGAAAAATTAGTAAACTGGGCTGTAAAGAAGCTCAAAAATGTAAAAAATCAACTAGATTGTCAGAAGTCAAAGTGTTTGAAATAGATATTTGAACAAATATTCATTCGTCTAAGTTTTTGTTTGCTAGCGCCTAACTTTTTTGTAATGTCCGCTAATTGGAAAGAAAAAAAGCCAAATTGACTATTTTGTGCAAGAAATATTGTCCGTTAATTAGAGTGTCCGCTAATTAAGGGTCCGCTTTTTAGAAAGTTTGTTATGAGACTTTGATCAGAAAACGAACGGGGAAAAAAAATTTGTCCGCTAATCAGAGGTGTCCGCTTTTTAGAGTGTCCGTTAGTTGGAGAAAATACTGTATTATTTTGAGCCCAATAGCAATGAATAGTCCAAAAAGATTATTATTGCAGCTGTTTGTATCACGATATAATTTGAATTTAAAACAAAATTGTACTGAGAAAGAGCAAATTGTATTGATGACGTTTCGAGCATAGCCCGGTATCAAGATACATTACATTGTACGACACGCATCTAGCATATTCACTGTTTCTATCATGAAACTCCGAAGTAATGTGTCTCGGTTCCACCACAGTGAATGAAATAACGTACTTTCTATTCTTAAAAATAAAAAAGAACCCTTGAGACATTAAGTTTTCTAACTTAAAAAATCCGCGAATATGGCTGAGTAATATTCGCGGACAGGCTACTAAATTTTGTGTTAAGTTTTTCATTTGAAAAAAGCCTATTTTTTAATTCAAGATAAAGAAGAGGGCAACTTCAGCGTTATTTGAACTTGGCAAGCGAACAATGACGAGCTAAGCATCACCATTTGGACCCTGAAAACGGCGTGACTGATAACTTTTGATACAGCGCCCTTTAGAACGCCGGAAAACGCCCCTTTCAGAAAATAATTGCTTCCTTCTACTTATTTCTTATAAAAAGTCTGTTTCAGGGAAGATATCAATTAATATAAAAACAAAATAAGTTAAAAGAAAATGAACAAAAAAGGTTTCAGTCAACTGCTACTACTAAAGATTAGCCTAGGGGTCTGGAACACAGTCTATTTAGGATCTGTTTGAGTAAACTTCAAAAAGTTGCGTTAGAGTAAACTTCCTAGAAATTTAAACTTATTATTGCAAAAAATGAGAGGGGAGCTATAGCCCCTGCTAGCCCAATAGCTGCGCGTTGCCTGAATGAAAAATGAAACTTAAAGATGCAAAATGAAAGAAATTAAACGAAGTTCGCTTTGAAAGTTTTTACTTATGAGCAGAAAGAAGAAAAGAATCGTTTCTGCGAAGCTATTCAAAAATACGTGCCCTTTGTATTAAACCTCTAGCCAATTAACTGTCGAGTATGCACATCAAAAAATCTGCGAACTATGCTATCTTCCTTCAGATAACAGAAGACACGAAATTTCTTTCAACAGAAACTCTATTTTTATACAGAAACTGCAGGAAGCAGACATCTGTCTGCAAAAGGCTTGCATTCATTATCAACGATTACTTCAGTTGAAAAGCAAATATTTCTAAAATGCAAGTTTCAAAGTATTTCGGATAACAGCAGGAGTTTCGACGATAAGAGATGTTGGGCTAGAAATCATGTGTGGAATTGCAGAGCTTGAATAATTTTGGTTGAACAACGTAAAAGAAATAAATCAGTATAGAGACACCCTTCCCCGGACACTGTTTACACAAAACCTTCAACTCTCAACCAAGAAGGAAAGAAGCGCCCTGTCTTAGTTTGGTGTACAACTTCCAAATTTGGTGCACTCTTTTCAAAACTTTTCATTTTGATATATCCAAAAATGCATAAGTTTACCTGCTTTGCAAAATATTCAACAGAAATTCATTTATTTTTCATAAGTAATGGCCTTTTTCTGACAATAAAGAAACTCATCAGTATGGAATCAGAGATCAGTTTTGCTTCTTTAACATTCTATTTCAAATGTGGTTTTAAAATATTTTCAAACAAAAATTCATTGAACAAATATGCAAAAAGTTCTACATGCAAAATATTCAAGATGATAACACTATATTCATTTTACATGAAGTACTACTGGGCAGACTTACAAATCTCTGCAAGAACGTTTAATACACCATTGTGCAAAAGTATAGGAAGGCTTCTAACCAATTTCAGACATATTCAAGGAAAATGAGTGTGAAAATTTTGTCTTGCTAAAAAGATTGTAGCCTTGCTAATTGAATTGACTGGCTTAAGTTGAGTACATTTCCAGCTTAATTTGCACTTAATCCGATATGTTTGGCAACGAAACAACACTACCAGAACCAACAGAACTGCAACCATAAAACCACTCTTTTCTCAGTATCTGAAAGTTTAAATACACCGCCTCTGGCCTTGAAGTTTTCTATAAAACCAAGGTAAAAATTGAGCGACATTGCAATACCACATAATCGCAGTATTCTACAGTTCACGCCTCAAAAAGCCATCTGCATTTAAATTGTAATATCATTACGTTCTAAATATTTCAACAAGTTTAGTTTTAGGTGCATTGAACAAGAAATCAGGGGCAAAATCACCTTTGCTTGGTATTAACCACGTGATTAAATATGTCAAGGCCGAGATAAAAGAACGTCTGGAACAGTAAGGAGATTTTTAGGGTTTGTCTAGTGATGTTCAATAGATATACTAGGTTGTGTATTGCACAATATCATGTAACAACATAGCTTCGAGCTAATAAATTAAGAGCTAAGTTTATTAACGACGTTTCGAGCATAGCCTGTTATCAAGTCAATTATGGCATGTATATATTCTCTGATATACAGAAAATGTCTCATTAAATTCGCTACCCTGGGTACCAGAGCCGCAAAAATAATGAGAGCTGCGGAGGCGAAGCAGAGAGAAAAGGGAAGAAGAAAAGCTTTTCTTTTGCGGCTCTGGTACGCCGGTATAAAAGTGCCAGCCGCTCCAATTTACTTCTCGAACTAAGTAGACCTAAATGAGATAGCCATGAACAAGTTAAGCATCCTTTTCGATAAACAATCCAAGGGTGATTTAACTGTAAAATATATGACACAATAATTAAAAAGCGGCGAGGGAAGCATTAACGTAGAGGTATACTAAATCATTTCCTTTTCCCCCGTATATTCCTACGAAAAGCAGATGATTCCACTTTCTGATAAAAATGTAAACCATCAAAAACCATCTTCTTACTGCCAGCCTCAATTTAAATAAGTTTCTGCCTAGGTTCCTTCACTGCAAGGACGGCAGAGGCGGTCAAGGGGACTGGGGAAAATCGGCAGTAATCACACGATAGACCAAAATGGTGCCGTGATCGTGATCTGAATCATCCAACATCCAAGTACCTTGTTTGTTCGGTTGCCTTAAATGAATTCGGATGCCTAAATTAATTCATCGTTAAGTTCGTAATAAGATTCATTATGAACACGAAGACCGTCAAGATAGTTTTCTTATGCAAAGGCTTTGCTGTTCTGTATGTATTCATGGGCTCCGACGCAGGTTGGAAAGTAGGTGGGCCAAATTTCACAATCACAATATTCACAACAATTGAAAAAACTCTTGTGTACAAAAGACTATTGTTTTGCAAAAAAACATGCTGCGACCCCTTCCCCCTCGTTGGAGGCCCTGGTATTAACTGCTCCACTCTTAGGTCCTTCTCGTCTGGTTAAGGGCAAGAAACGAAGCTAAGCCTGCTTTGCTTCATGTTACTTTATTCTGTTTTTGCAATGATCATCATAGTATCTACAAAGATATCTTTATTAAGGGAATTCAGAAAAAGGTGTACAATTCCAACCAAACTTGTTGAGTCCTGTGAACGTCCCACAGTATAGGTACTCTCTAATGAGCGCTAAATCAATTTTTTATCAATTTTTGTCGGGAATCGTATAGTTAGCCGCGACAATAAATCACGAATCTGTTCACAGAGATCTTTAATGTTTATCACGTTCACGATCAACACAACTACTACTACTTCAACAATCTCGACTGCTTTTATACCTAAGTCTAAGAATGTTCTAGCAACCGCTGTCATTATTGCGTACCATTATTACAAGGCTTCTAAAAATATTAATTACGTTATAGCTAATTTGGGATACCCTCAGAAAGTTCATGAAGGTTCCCGAGGTACAATTACGTCAATAAAACGAAAACGAGGCTATGTGTTTACATTAGGCCTAAATAAGCTATTATGAAGAGCTATTCTAAGGGATTACAAAAAAGCAAAAGTTCTAGTATGTTCTGGAACGTTCCACTATTTCAAGCTAAGTATAATGTTTATTAAGAATCTTGACACTCTCCCCCCATTTGAGAATTGCATTGTTCTCAAATGTACACTTGTCAGGAAGAAGCCCAATCCGCTGCATCACCATTCTACCAGTGGCTCTTCGTTGTCTGCATCTGTCTGATTTGCTATTCTCATCCTAGCAGCTACAGCTGCGTCTCGTTTTGGTCTGAACTCTGTGGCCTCTACGTTCAGTTGTTTCGTCCCCGTGTCTGGAGTAGGTTTCTCGCGTGAGCTGTTGCACTGAAGCTCCAGGGGATACAAGTGCTGCACTGCACGCTCAAGTGTTGTATTCCCA